ATGCTTTTCTTCAGGGTCCCTTATAGGAAGAGGTTTACATGGTCCCACCGCCGGGTTTTGTTGACCCCTCTCGTCCTCACCATTTATGTTGTCTCCGCCAGGCAATCTATGGTCTTCGGCAAGCTCCTCGCGCGTGGTATACTGTGTTGAGTGCATTTCTTCTCGAGTTTGGCTTCACCAGGACACATTCCGATGCCTCCCTCTTTGTCTACTCTCATGGCATGGGTCTTCTCTACTTTTTGGTGTATGTCGACGACCTATTGCTTACTGGCAACGACCCACGCACACTTGCATCCTTCCAGCAAGCTCTCTCTGCACGGTTTTCTCTCAAGGCACTTGGGGATGTCAATTATTTCCTTGGTATCGAGGTTATTCCCACGTCTACTGGCTATATCTTGTCCCAACATAAATATATGGTTGATCTACTACACCGCTTCTTGTTGACCGATGCCAAAGCGGTCGACACACCACTCGCTGCCTCCACCCACCCATCTTACTCTCGATGATGGGAGTCCACCCACGGATGCGATGCACTTTCGTCAGGTAATTGGTTCTCTCCAGTACCTGGTGTATACTCGCAGACATTGCTTTCTCCGTCAAAAAGCTTTCCAATATATGCTTGCTGCAACGCCGCATCACTGACAGTGTGTAAAGCACCTCTTGCGCTATGTTTTGGGCACTCTCGACTATGGTCTCTCCATACTTCACTCCCCCGGCACTCTTACCCTCTTTGCCTTTGCTGATGCTGACTGGGCAGGGAATCTCGACGATTGGTCCTCCACCTCTGGCTATCTTGTCTATCTCGGCAACTCGCTAGTCTCTTGGCATTCTCAGAAAGAACGCACTGTGGCTCGCTCTAGCATTGAGGCTGAATATCGAGCCATTGCCAATGCCACCGCCGATTTGGAATGGGTGCATAATCTCCTCCACGAGCTTCGTCACCCTATGACCGCCGCTCCCACACTCTACTCCGACAATCTCGGTGCCACCTATTTTAGCGCCAATCCAGTGTTTCATTCCCGCATGAAGCACCTCGCATTTCATTACCACTTTGTTCGACAGTTGGTTCAAGCCGGCCGACTGCATGTATCCTACATCCCCACGACCCACCAGTTCGCTGATGCTCTCACCAAACTGTTGTCGGCTACTCGTTTTCTTCTCCTCCGATTCAAGATTGGAGTCGTTGACACCTCCTCCATCTTGCGGGGGCGTATTAGAGATAAATGAGTGTTTCCATTTATTATTCTTATTCTTTTTCCCACTATCTATTTTTCGGTTCCTAGCTTTGTGGGTAGTGCACAGCAGGCTATTGCTACGTGCTCCTAGTTTCACTCCCGAAATTGTGTATATTAGAGAACATGAGGATCAATGAGAAACAACTTGAAATCTTTCTCACTAGAACAAAATCCTATAATATCTTTCAAGATTCACTCCCTAGAAGCATCCACCGTCGAACTGAGCAAGCACGTAGGTCGGGTTATATGGTTTGTCGAGGTCCGGGACGAAAGTCGGGTTGTTGTTGGTGGTCGGTGCGGCCATTTTGTGGATTTGGGGATCGACGAGGACGAAAAGGAGGAGGTATAGTAGATAGGAGGAAGCGACGATGTGGGACTGTCTCGATGCTAGGCGGCACCCTCCATTGCCCCGCCGTGCCTATTCTCTGACGGGGAAGAAAAACAACAAGCGGAGGAGGAAAATAGCGAGGGAGAGGGATCTTCTCTTCTATATTTTTTTGCTCTACATGGCGGTCTTGAAGTAATACATTGATATTATTATCTCCCCGGTTCCCGCAATTGATCAATCGAACAAGATTTTGGATCCGTACAATTGATGGCGGTTCGAATGGCGCCCCGACAATGACAACAAAAGGAATTGTAGACTTTATAGGGAGAAGGGGAGCGAGCAAAAAAGAGAGATGGGGAGCCGGAGAGATTATTTGAAAGGAGAGAGACATGCGAAATGGAAGGAAGAGGAGGAGGCGATTAGTTGCATTTTCCTCCAGCAGGCCATATAAGAAGAAGAAACAAGAAGCACCTCTTTTTCTTGGACGAATTCAGAGAAGAAGGAGAGATGGCAGTGGTTGGTAGATCTGGAGAGGTCAGGCGGGTTAAAATAAAGGGTCATATGTATAATATGCCCCTGTATTTTGCATTTTTCTCAAACATGCCCCACTACTATAAATCATATCAAATCTACCCTTATACTATTAAGTACTTCTTAAACATGCCCTTTCATCCGTTTTTCTGTCTCATAATCGTTAGTTAGGTCCAACCTGATTTTGGGCAACACGGCTTCATGAAATGAGAGGTTGAAAGACACTTTTATCCTCGTTTAGCTTTAACATCATTATCGTTCCCAAAAATCCTCCATTCACGCACCCCATTCCATCGATTAACGATAGACTCCAACCCCGTTCCAAATTTATCCTCTGTTTTGCTAAATCGACCGCCTCTTCGGGTCGGATCTAATTCTGAAGATAACAATTGAATTCTTTGGAGCCTCATCTCCGTGTATCTTCTCTCTATTTCTATCATCGCCAGCCAAAATTTTTTATCGCTGCTCAAAGTTTTGCAGTACTACTACCCTGATTTGCTTCTCTCTTCCATCCCGTCACTGGCAATCTGTTCATCTTGAGATTTGGTTGCTAGCAATGTAAATGAAGGAGAGGGAGATGCATTCCTTGCAAGTATTAAGGTATTGGTGTTGTGATTGTTGTTGCCGCCATCGCTCAGGGGAAAGAAAACAGAAACTTTATTTTCCAGATTTAAAAATAAGGAGATCTTAGCTTGTGGTTCTAATAATTAAACATGTGAAGTATTGGTTTGGTCCTTCTTTCTTCTTTTCGAAAATTGAAATCACATATTAGTGTTGCCCATTACCAACTTCAAATGGTTGCTTGCAAGTAGAGTTAAAAATTAAGGATTTCAATTTATCGTTTAGGGATTTTTTTTGTTGCCAAATTGAGTTCTTTGTCCATATGTTGTTACGAGTTAGGAATTGAGGATCGAAGAGATTAGAGAGCTGGAGAGAGATGGATTTGCCGAAAGGAGTGGCGGTGAGAGAGGGGCTCCGAAGATGATTGACGGCGATGCGGTGGCGGCTCCGAAGTAGCTAGAGGGTTGGGACTTGGGGACCCAAAGTTGGGCTCTTCCCGGAGGGAATCGATGACCAGTTAGGGGCAGAAGCCACCATCAGTTCGATGACAGCGAAGAGGGGTGGTGGCTGAAAATCCAATGTCGGAGACACAAGGTTGCTTGGATGACCGGAGAGGGATCAGGGATTGCTTGAGCCTGGAGGGAATGAGTCGATGGTACATGATTGATATTTTTGGGAACGATGATATTGGAGCCGAAGGAGGGTAAAATTGTCTTTCACCCTCTTATTTACGTGACAACATGTTGCTCAAAATTAGGTTGAACCAGACTAACGGCAATGTGACGGAAAAACAGATGGGAGGGCAAGTTTGATAAATTCTTAATGGGTAGGTTTGATGGAATTGCTATTTATAGCCCTAACTTTCTCTTATTTGTAGCCCTAAGAGAATTAAATTACTATTTTACCCTTTCTTCTTTTTAAAATTAGAACTTGTTACAACTCCAACCAAACACTCCCTTCTCTCCCAATTCAACTGTCGTCGGTTTCCTCTCAAATATTGTCGCCGGCGACGACCACCTCTCGTCGGAGACGAAATCAGAGCGCCTCGCCGGAGTTAATTTTTATTTTTGTACGAAGGAGGTGACGACCGGCCGTTTAACCCAGCGAGGGCGACAACAAAATGGTCGTTGACCAGCCGTTTGACCCGATGTCCTGCCGAGACGTCGGCTGGTCAACGACCGTTTTGTTGCCGCCGGCGAGGGCCCTTTCCCGGCAGGTTTTTAAATTTTTTAATTTAGCTTTTTTTTGTTTAAATTAATTTAGGTTAATTATCTGCTTCAATTATTATAATTTAATGAAGGTTAATTATCTACTTTAAATCAATTTAAAAAAATAATTTAATTATCTCCTTTAATTATGTAGGTTAATTATTATGATTTGATGTAGGTTAATTATCTGCTTTAAATCAATTTAAAAAATTACTTTAATTATCTCCAATAATTATGTAAATTAATTATATTCTTTAATTATTATGATTTAATTTAGGTTAATTACTCTACTTATCTACTTCAATTATGTAGGTTAATTATCTTTTTTAAATATGTTAATATTTAATATATACGAAAATTATTTTGGTTAATGTTTTCCTTTAATTATGTAGGTTAATTATATGCTTTAATTATTATTATTTAATGTAGGTTAATTACTCTAATTATTTGTTTTAAATATGTTAATATTTAATATATACAAAAATTATGTCAGTTAATGTTTTCATTTAATTGAAATTAGATAGGAAAGGTAAATTTTAATTGATAAATATAAGAAAGTTTAATAATTTAAATATAGAAGTTTATTTCGTGAAAAGTATTAATTGTTGTACGAACCTTAAATTGCAATTGACAATTTAAACAAGAAAATTAAGTTAGAATTTATCGTGAAATTCATTATAATTCCGCACATTATATTGTGATGGGAATTTTATTGTAATTGAAATTATATACGAATGTTTAATTATAATAGAGAAATATACGAACCTTGAACATTTGAATATAAAAATTTATTATATGAGAACTAACAATTATCATATGAACATTGCTGATAACTATTACATGATGATAATAAAATGGCAATAATTTTAATTCAAATTTTAATAGGTAGAATATGGTGGATACAAGAGGAAAGAAGAAGATGAAGGAGGTAGAGCCGTCGAGGGTGGCCAACCGTATAGTATTGAGTTCGCGTCGTGAGGAAGTAGAGAATGAGCGTCGACGTGCTAGACTTGTGGAGAATCCTTCTCCCCCGGCTCCCGTGCCTTTTGACTTAGATAGAGCTTTTGAGGAGTGGATGAGTATGATGGCAGTGATGACAATTATGATGACTTCCCGGATGTAAATGATGCTTTCTTCGAGAGCAACCATCCGAGTGCAGGTGGTTCTAGTGGACCTAGATTAGAGCCTGAGGCTCCTTTTGTGTCTACTTCGTCCTCTCAGTTTGTTCATGTTAGACGTGGGCCTCGTGGTAATTTTGAGTCATCACGACCCGATTCGGAGGAGGGCAGCACTAGTAAGAGGAAGAAGGCAAGAGAAGCTTATTCGTGGATTCTTGACAGGAGTGGGCCGGGGGGGCCTATCGATCATAGCCTAATTCCTAGTTTTGGAGGTCATGTGGCTTATCGATTATGGGATGATGGTTTAGGGGCTCGCCGAATGGATTCATTCAAGTTGTCGACTAGAGCATTGGCAGTCAATTATTTGAAAGATTACAAATTTCAGAGTGAGGGTGCTGCAGCATTGGTTGAGAGGACAGGGTTGCGCAAGTTGTTGGACTGCTCGATCCAGCACTTGGATAGACCTTTACTTGTGGCGTTTGTGGAGAGGTGACAGCCTGATACCAACACCTTTCACACCTTTTGGAGAGATGACCATCACACTCCACGACGTTGCAGTGTTGCTTGGGATTCCAGTCGGTGGAGATATGGTTGTAGGGAATGAGAGTGTGAAAGCACAGTTGTGTGAGATGATGAACGATCCAAGCCTTCGCTTAAGAGTGGGGTTTTGGTGTGTGTTGAAGCTATGCAGCAGGTTGGGAGGTTTCGGGAAAAAGATTCTGAGCTACGGATGTTCTTGACCTGTTTGTTGGGGACCACCTTGTTTGTGGACAAGAGTGGGGATCGGGCGCAGATTTGGCCTCTCCAGTTCTTGGGGGACACTAGACGGGTGAGGAAATATTTTCGGGGTCTGCTACACTCGCCTATTTGTATAGGCAACTCGGCATGGCGTCTCGAGCGGACTGCAAAGGCATGGGTGGCTGTTTGACCCTCCTTTAGAGATGGATCTACGAGTACTTCCCATGTTTACGAGATCAGAAGTTGGGGACACGTGGATTGGTGTGCGGGGAACCTTTTGCTAAGAAGTGGGAGGGGTGAGATTTGGAGGTGGGGCACAGTTGATGAATGAGAGGTTGGATCACTATCGTCGAGTACTGGATAATATGACAGATGAGTTCGTTTTTTGGTGCCCATTCGGCCTCAGACCTGGTGAGATGGTCTCTCGTTCTTTGTACTCTGGTGTCATTCGGTGCATGAGTGTTGAGGAGATGTACGATCCCTCGCGTTGCCTCCGTCAGTTTGGGTAAGTACAGACCATCCCCTCAGATCCGCTTCCTCCAGTTGATGTTTGCCGATCTGCAAATGTCAAGATGTACTCCTTGTCCTACGGTCCCGGCTTGAATGAGCTTTGGAAGGCCCCTCACTGCCACTCGATGCAGTTGGATTCGATATCGAGACCTGTTCAAAAACCGGAAGATACCAACGATGGGTATCTACAGTGGTATATGGGACGTACCCACCCGAGGATCGTCTGCCCCAATGCTGCTGACCAGGAGATACACCACCATCTTAGTCATGATCAGGTAAGTTTAATTATGTTATTGATATTGCTATTCTGTACAAGCTTAAATATTGCATTAGTTATCGAATAACATACTAACATTTACATTTTTATACAGTTAGCTGTGAAGCTCGTCCGAGAGTTTCGCACTGTGATTGAGCACCCTTATGATGACCACCTTCATCTTCTTCTTGGATTACAAGGGTTGCTTAGAGAGTACGACGAGGCGACTCCATACCAGCCTCCACCTCAGTACTAGTGCTGTTCATGTAGTTTGAGTACTATGTAGTTTATTTGTATTTTGAGAATTATGTCGTTAATTTGGTGTTTGAGAACTATGTCGTTTATTTCTAGTTTGAGAACTAAATCGTTTATTTGTTGTTGGAGGACTATGTCGTTTATTTGTAGTTTGAGAACTATGTTGTTTATTTTTTGTTTGAGAACTATGTTGTTTATTTATAGTTTGAGAACTAAATCGTTTATTTGTTGTTGGAGGACTATGTCGTTTATTTGTAGTTTGAGAACTATGTTGTTTATTTGTTGTTTGAGAATTAGTGTCGTTAATTTGGTACTTTATTTGTATGTTTAGAACTATGGTAGTTTTAATTTAAAACTATGTTTACCAAAGACTACAAATATAAAGATAAGATGAGTTACAAAATATTCTTTATTTACAACTATTGTCGTTATATACCAATACTACTACAAATATCTCCAACTAGTCATGATGACCCCCAAGTGCGAAGTAAAGATCTCGCTCGTCATTGAACAACTGCTCCCACCCTTGAGTACTCATTTTGTCACGAAAATGGGTCTACAGGAAGGTGAATGGAGGCATTGGTATTGAATCCTCCTCAAAGTCAAGGCGCACCCAATGGTTGCAGTGTTACACAACACCAACACATTGCTAGGGCGAGCTACCCCTGGCTTGGCTATCATAGGTAAAAAGGTTTGTCCAAATGGAACACGTCTCCTCACCCCATCTTTGGTATCGTCCATTTGACTGTAGAGGATTATGGCCCAGTTAAATAATGTTGCAACTACGGCGAGATCCGACTCAGTCATCCAATGTTCCATTGTAGTACCCTCTGGCTTGTTCCACTGTAATCGTGTAAGAGCAAGACCCACATCTTCATATGCGTACTCACATTGTTGGATCGACCTGACTTCATCTATAATAGCCTTTCTCACCCACAAGTGGTGATCCTCATCTCCATGAAGTGCATGTGAAAGAGCTCGAAGTCCGCAATGTCCATCAGGAGCAGGGTCCCACCAACCAAGACATCAATCTCTGACACTTTATGAGATGAAGCGAAAGTAAGGAAAACATTCACTCAGTCAATCTTGTGCATGGGATCCCTTTTCGGGCCACCTGTGGATGTAGTTTTTTTTAGTTATCTTATTGGCATATTAAACATACTTATTGAATATCAATGAATTTAACAAAACAACTCAAATTATTCAATACAAACCTGTAACATCTGAGGTTGTTGCTTTTCTCTTTCTGTGGTTGGTAGCATCCTTCGGGGCACCTGTTAGTGAAAATTTTGTTGTAATTAGCTTATTGGCATATTAAACATACTTATTGAATATCAATGAATTTAACAAAACAACTCAAATTATTCAATACAAACCTGTATCATCTGAGGTTGTTGCTTTTCTCTTTGTGTGGATGGGGGCACCCTTCGGGGAACTTGTTGGTGAAAATTTTGTTATAATTAGCTTATTAGCCTATTAAAAATACTTATTGAATATCAATTGAACAAAGTCATTCAAATTATTCAATACTAACCTGTATCATTTGAGGTTGATGCCTTCCTCCTTGTGCTCCTTCTACCTTAACGTGCGACGGCGTGCTCATGCCAAGAAGGATCACGAGTGTTTTCCTTTTTAGGTGGCCGACCTTTTGCCTTCGTAGACACTCGTGGCTCCCTAAGGCCTTCCTCTTCGGGGTAAAGCTGACTCATTAATGCGACCTTGGCTGCTCGAACTGCAGATGGACCACGCCTACACACCTCAGCCACTAGATCATGAAAAATCTGAAGATCATTGGCGTCATTGTCTTCGAACCGTCTTGCATCATGAGGGTTAGCATATTCCAAAGTAGACCTGGTGCCAAGTGTGTTATCTGAAAATGGTCTCCCGCTCCTTTAAAGGAGTTGATTCGACAACTGCATGGGAGCCCATGTGTCCTCCCAATCACACAATCACATTCCGACGGAGTCTTCTTTCTCTCTACAAACATCAACTCAAGCGCATATAGGCTTACACTTCCCCTTATAACGCCGTAGGGTAGTCCATAGGCTCCTTTGAATGTCTTTGTTCGACATGTCTCTAGCTCTTTCCTAATTTCGATCACTTGCCCCCCAATGCTAGCATGCCATGATAAAAATAATGTATAAACTCCCCCAGTCGAAGTGTTTAGCCAAGCTTTAAGAGTCTAGTGAGCCGATTCAACCCTATTCGTACTTGTGTCACCAATATGAAAAATATTGTTAGTGTAAGCACAAGCCCACTTCTCTTTATGCTCCAAGCACTCACGATTAGGGGTGGGCAACGGGACAGGACGGGATACCCGTCCCGTTTTAAACGGGTACCCAATCTCATTTGGAGACCAAAGTCCATCCCATATCCCAAACCCATATGGGAAACGGGTACCCATACTACCCATAAATACCCAAAGTTTAAATGACATTTTACCTAAAGACAATTAGTCAATTACATCCAAAGCATTCATTTCAAAACACAATCATTCATTTTCCTCACTGACTTTTTAGCTAAGGACAATTACATCCAAAAAACAAACCCACTGCCATTTTCGGATTTTCCCACTGCCACAATCAACACAGCCAAGAAGGAAGCAGAGGGAAGCCAGATACACTCACGGGCTGAATTAAATGGATTTTGTAATTTGAATGGATTTTGAATTGGGTTGGGCCTGGGCGCATGGGCTGAATTAAATATGTCTTTGTAATTTGAATGGGTACAACGGGTACCCATATTACCCAAACGGGTATTTGCGGGTAACCCGCGGGTACCCATATTAGGACTCTACAATCCCAAGTCCCATCCGTTTAAAATATTACGGGTAATATGGGTACCCGTAACCCTTAAAAAACGGGACGGGTACGGGTATACCCAAATACCCGTTTCCCATTGCCCACCCCTACTCACGATCCAAGTATTCTATCAACTTACTATTCCTCCCCCAAAATCCATTTTTGAAATTTTCCCATTCCTCAATCATAGCATGTGGCGTGGTGGCTTCCATCACCTTCTTCCAAGAACCATGTACCACTCCTCGAGCAACTTCTTGTGGTATCCCCAAATTCATCATCTTAGCTTCAATGTTCCGCTTTATGTGCCATATACACAACAAGTGAGCCGATTTCGTGAAGACCTGAGGGATAGCGGCAACCAATCCTCCCTCATTGTCAGTTAGAATTGCATTTGCTATGCGATCTCCAAGCATGTTCTGTAACTCTCTCAAAAGCCAAACATAAGAATCTGTGGTTTCCCCCTCCATCATAGCAAATCCAATGTTGAAGTTCCTCTTGACGGGGGTAACACCAATAACCTCAACTAGGGTCCTCTTATATTTGTTCGTCTTGTATGTGGAATCAATCAAGATTACATGGTACCAAGCACTCAACATCCGAACAGACTCAGGGTGAGCAAGAAAAAGGTGAGTAAGGTGGCGATCATCATCACGCTTGTAGCCAATGTAGTACCGCATCTCTCTCGCATGGTGTAACATCCAATCCGAAGGGGTCATGCCACTCAATCTCTCAATCCTTATATTGGTTGTCATGTTGTAAAATTGTCGTTTGTTATGGTGAGTACCATACTTTTGGTTGATAGTTTGCATCATTTTTCAAGGAGGAACACGAGTCCATTCCATCTCCTTCATATCCTTTAGCTCTTCATTAGTAAAAGCATTCCTCTGAGTGTGGCCTTCGGGATAAAGCTCTAATGCATGGTTGTGAAACCCACAAAATTGTCCCGGATTGTGATTGTCCTTCACACCATCAATCATCCAAGTCTTATCCTCCGGGAGTCCCACCAGTCTCACTCGAAAACGACAACCATCTTTAAATGACTTTGTGTTGGATCGTCCTTTCTTATCCGGGTCTGGGACATATGTATTGTTATTATATCCACGATGGCAGTGAAGATATATTCGGGGGTACTTCTCGCCATCATTTGATTTGGTTGATGAATGTGTCAAAAAGAACCCAAGATCTTTTGCAATCACTTTCGCAGCTTCCATAGCTTCATTCCATGACTTATAGCATGATTAACTACCAAATCCTAATATTTCAACATGCAATAAAAAAGTTTTTAATAAGTAGACACGTACTAATTAAATTATCAACAACACAATGTTGTTAACAATTATTCAATATTCGAACATAAACAAATCCAATACATTTTCAACAAAAAATTAGCACATTTAGCATGATTAACTACCAAATCCTAATATTTCAACATGCAATAAAAAAGTATTTAACAAGTAGACACGTACTAATTGAATTATCAACAAGACAGCAAAATCAATAATTCAACATTTTTCAAACAATATGTATAATTGTAAAATAAATATTTAAGCATATTATCAATTACTAGACTTCATCATAACAATAAATAATTCAACATGATTCTAAAATTAAAAAGTTTAACTCACTAACCGTGTTACTCATTATCTAATGTAGTGATATCTAGAAGTCCGAACTTGACCAACTTCAAGAAATACATATAAGAAAAATATTTTCAGTAATACTAACTTAGTTTCAAAATATAAAAAAATGAAATTCAAGAACTTCATTCTAAAAATAATATTATAGCAAATCCATCCTAAAAAATATGATAATTACAATATCATAAAATAATAAATTACAATAAAATTACTAAATATTCTTCAAAGTCTAAATTATTGTTAGTAAACATTAACTTATTTTCAAAATAACAAAAAATGAAATTAAATAACTTCTACAAATAATATTATAAAAAATCCTACTAAAAATATGGTAATTACAATATTCATAAAATAATAAATTACAATAAAAACACTACATATTCTTAAAATATGGCAATTAAAAGTCTAAATTATTTTCAGGAAACATTAACTTAGTTTCAAAATATGAAAAATTAAAATTCAATAACTTCATTTTAAAAATAATATTAGAACAAATTCATCTAAAAAATATGATAATTAAAATATTTATAAAATAATGAATTGTAATAAAATCACTAAATATTCTTGAAAATCTAAATTATTCATCAATCTATTATAAAAAAAAACAAAAATAATAACAAAAAAATCTACATTAATATCTATTTAAGAAATCTAATATACTTCACAAATTTAAATTAACAAAAAATTAAAAAAAAAACCGGCAACGTCCCTACAGGAAGTTCGTCCGTTGCTGGCGACATCTTGACAGGACGTCCGGCCATCGCCGGTGACAGACGGCAAAATCTGTCGTCGTCGGGTAATTTGCCGGCGTACCTCGTCGGAGAAAGGTGATTGTCGTCGTCGGGTAATTTGTCGTTGTCGTCGGTGGGAGGTGCGGTCGCCGGCGGCGAGTATTGTAGGATTGTGTTTGAAGAAAGTGTTTGAATTTTTTGGTCTTGGAATGTGTGAACTAAATGTATTTAAATGTGATGGGTATTATTGTACTTTTTATAATTTAGGACTACAAATAAAGACAATTTAGGGCTACAAATAATACAGCTCATTTATAATAGAGGGTCATGTTTGAGAAAAATGTAAAGTACAGGGGCATATTATACCTATAACCCTAAAATAAAGTAGGTTTGGGTTACAGGTTGGTTTAATTGACGTGGCGAGTTGGGTTTAAATATTTTGGGTTAAAAATAGGTTGATTGAAAATTTTGTTAGTCACGACAGCTAAAATCTAACAGCGTTAACGGAGACTAACGAAAGGTAACGGAGAGTGTCTAAACTTGAAATGTTTAACTAATTCTAATGACCATGAATGAGATTAAGTATTTTTAGTGACCAAACGTAAATCTTTTTAGTAATCTCAATAACCAATCTTGCAATCAACCTAAAAAATGTGTAGATTAGAAATTTTTCTGAAAAACGTGTGTAATATGTGAAAAAATCCCTATGTACCAGTATGTTGTACGCATTCTGGTAGACCTCAACCAGAATTCAATAAAATCCCAACACCCTTAGAAAGAAACAATTAATGATATTACCGCATCAACGTCATTAGCAACAAAGAAATGATGATAAGAAGAAGAAAAAAAAAAATATACACTTCCTTTTCCCCCCAAACCAACAGCAAAATGAATTAAGATCGCCAAGTTACGAGCAACATAAAAGCATGCCAGCTGAACCTCCACCACCACCAGAGAGACAAAGCCGCCGTCGTATTCCCGCTAGTCACTCCACAAAACCGCCGTTGAAGGCTGCTGCTGCTCAAACAAACAACTTATACGGCTCGCTTCCTTTCCTTCTTCTCCTTCACCTTCTTCACAACGTAGTGTATGCGTACTCAGGGGCGGACCCAAGTGGTAGAGAGGTGTGTCAAGCGACACACCTCCGCACGAATATTTTGTGAGAGACCCATATTTTGTCTGTATAATTTTTTGGAATTTAGGACTTTTAACACACCTTGAATAATTGTTATCGACACACCTTTAATACACTACGATGAAATTGGTGTCATAAAGTTCCCAAAATCCGTAAATATATGTTATTTATTTTAAATTTTAGTTAACTTATGACAAATTTGGGGTTCTTTTCATTGCTTAAGTATTTAGATGCAAGGGTTTATTGCTCTTAGGTCTTAGGCATGGGTAATCGTATCTCTACCTGAATAAGTTTCATTTCTTCTTGATCTTTGTAGGTTCCACATAGTTGTCCACCTAGTGACAAAAAATGCTCTTTCATCGGGAGTCTGGTTGCATATGAACTACTATCTTATAAAAAAAACTCCAATGTTCCCTTTGCCTCTTTCGATCCCACTTCTCGTTGTGTTACACAGTAAAATATAATTAAAATTTATTTATTATTTATTTAATTTTATCGACTGACACACCTTTACGAGAATGCTGGGTCCGCCACTGCTTACGTAGTATGTCAGCGTATTCTCTTCTATATAATATAATATCATTTCGTTTCTTTTTTCTTCATATATTCTACTACTTTTTTGCTTAAGAACAATAAACGAACTACTCAGAGTACTTCACTACCGATAGAGCACTTCACTTTCTTCCACATCACCAGCGACTTGAGAAATTCCATTACCTACACAATACGAATGATAAAGAGGTTAATATTTTACGAGGCGCCATAAGAGTTCTGATTTACAGAGTGCTAGAGTTAGATAAAGAGTTACCTCAAATGGATCTCTAAGGGAGTAATATGCATTGCTTTCCTTGGGCGCAGATGACACCAAAATCCCATAGCCGCGCCTCCTCTCCCTCAACACCTGACATAAAGGACAGCAAACTCTGTATGCACCAAAATTTTGCAGGCAATGTTGCCCTTGAACTACAAGATCTCCAGAAGATATTACCTTAAATGCATCTTCATCAGTCCGGTCATCTCCAATGTAAATTGGAAGAACGTCATCGCAATTGTTCAGGCCTGGCCGAAAACAATGGGTCAGAGGGTTGTGTTTTCATCAAGGAGAACCAAAATACAGAATACACAACTGTGATTACAAGTTGGTCGAGTAGTTGAGAGGTTACCGAGAGATTCGAGAAGAAATGTCACAGCCTTCCCCTTGTCCCAGTCAATTACAGGTCGCACCTCCAGAACCTAATCAAAATATAATAAGCTCTTTAAAACCCAAAACAGAGACAACACTAGTGGGGGAGAAGACAAAGAAAGGTCTGGGAGGGAATCACCTTTCTTCCGTGTGTCAGCCGTAGCTTCGGATAGTTTTTAATCACTTTGTCTACAGAGCGCGCCACCGCGTCCCAATACTGAATTTTAAAATAAAACGTAGCAGCTTTCAGTTTCGAACAGTAAGTACATACATCAAAGTTAAACTAACAATACAGTTGGATTAAACAAAGATACCTTGTCATCTACATTGCGGTAATGTACGGAGACGCAGAATTTGTTGTTTTCAACTTTAGCTCCTTTTATGTCTCTAGTGCTCTCCACAAGGGAATTGAACACCTGTCCAATTCGAATACAATGAAAAATGGCTTTAACTAAACCTGGAATGGAGAGACAGCTAAAGTCCTTATCTTCCAAATAAAACGGACACGCTACATACCTCATCAATCATGGGTAGAAATTCACTTGCAGGCTGGAACAGATTAACTTCTTTCCCCTGCATAGACAAACGAGATTATAAATATATAGCTCCCCCATGCTCTGGGAAGTGGAGAAAAGAAAAGCAAGAAGCTACACAAAGTCGTTCCTTACCCGCTTGCAAGTGGACCGTATAGAATTTACATGGTCAGCAGGAGCCGATTCCCTAACGGGACTCACTATGTCCATCCCATGACTACCGGCATAGTATAGTTCAGTTAGACCTACAAACTCGTACACCTAAAACAAAGAGAAACCCACTTCAGAAACATGTACACCAAGTGTTGTATCAATGGTGACAACTGTACAGAACAGTTACCTTGTCACGACTTCTTCCACTGATTATGGCTGTTGGGAAATATTTGGCAACGATTTTGACAGCGGATCGCATCTGAAAAAGATCATACGCCACACCAGATAATCAGCAAACCCAACTTACAATAACACCAGTAAAGGATGACAGGCAACTTCAGCATTCGGAGAATGTTTGTAGTCCTATGCTTACATCATTTGACATGAAGGCGCAGTCAGGGTTGTCGACAATGGGTGAAAGAGTCCCATCGTAATCCAGAAACAATGCTATCCGTTTCCCTCTTGCAAAGTTTGCAATTTGCTCAAATGATGCTAGAGCTGACGGATATTTAAGCTGATCATAATTGGGGAAAAGTTCTGATTTAGTCACAGTCAAAACTATTACAGATAGAATAAAACAACAGGGAACCTAAAAGCCACAACTTACCAGCCAGTTAGAGTAGCCGCTGTCATCAGGTGATGTACGATCATTGTTCTGTTCCTTGGTTACCCTCTTAGGAGGTGGTGAGGATGCTTTCATAGCATCCAGCCAGCTGCTGGAGCGTACATCATCCAGTAACCCAGCTTTCTTCCTTGGAACAGTTAGTAACAGATTTGGCGAGAATGCTGCTCCAGAGGCGGTGGTGCAATGTAACAAGGAAGAGTGCAACCTTGACTGGGCTATGGGTGCAGAATCAGTGAGAACTGGAGCAGCGTGATTTGTTTTAAGGTCCATCTCACAAGGATCCGTGAGCCCGGCTGTTGAGTATACAGATCAAATAAGCCAACAGTTCCAACCCTTGGAGTTCCACGAAAAACTAGTACTTGACAGTTGAAAATTATTTCACCCAACCGTCTTGTCAATGAAAAACCACCTCTTCAAGGATTTCTTGTCACAGATGCTCGGCAAGCAGTCCATCAATGGCAGAACTCTAGTATACTGAAAATCAATAACAAGGCTAGTAAGATACAATAATATTCCCAAAACGGTGAACAGATTCGACGTATTTAGAAGTTACCTATATGGTCTCATCTCCTTTTCAGCGTATTAGTTGAGAAGTAAAAAACTGCGTTCGAGAATACTATGGAAGATTATGTGCGATTCCACAATTCAGGGCCCCTTGAAATCTTCAAGCTTCTGCAATGACTACCAAACAGCAAAATCATTCCAGGCTCTACCAACAAAGAATTTGATAGTCCGCAAAGAACAGAATATAAAATCATAAAGTTATGAAAATCATAAAGAACATATTGATCCACCTTCCATGGCCTTTCATAGCCCTTTCTACTTTTCTTGCTCAGTAGTAATCACAACCATGAAATAGTCATTTTCAGGGAAACGCAAAACATTAGACAAAACTGTGCGCTCCATTTCCATATTTCTCATGCACCAGCCTTGACCCTTGCCTACTTGAGCTTTACCAGCCTCAATACAAAAAGAAAATCCTACTGTGAACTCATCATTCTTGCTGGTCAAAAAGTAATTCATGAAGAAGCAGGTAAATTACTGTTCACATAGATACCGGTAGAGTGCAGTAGAGAAGCCATTACTCCCATACCAACCAAACCAACTCCAAAGGGTTGTCTAGTAATAAAAGGGTAAACAACATGCCCCATGTTCAGGTAGAAAGTATGATGAAAATGCATCTAGTGCTAAATGAGTACCATAAAACGAACAGCTCAAGAGAGAAAAGAATCATACGTACACACAGATTGTGAATCTGCCACAGCTTAGAAATGAATGAACGAGCAACAAAAATATATATACACATGTTGGAGAAACACTGAGTGGCTTTAAAACTAGGCCCACAAATGGGATGTCTGGTAGAGAAATTATTAGAAATTTTCATTCATGGTTTGTTTACATAAAAAGCTTTGGAGCCCCACAATAGTGGGATGCAGGCATACCATATGCAACCACACAAGACGGGCCTACCATGATGAGCATGGGAATCATTTACGAACATGGACCCAATGCCTAAAAATGGATTCACAGATGATATGAACCATATTGAATGCAGAAAAAAATTTCTCAAGTACGCCAAGAAATCACTCATGTGTTTGTTGCTATCACACATTCTGCCGTGCTATACAGCTCCATATTCTTCAATGGTAGAAATGAAAAGAGAATTTATATATAAAAAAAACAATTAAATGAAAAAGAAGAGAAGAAAGAACATTATGGTGCAGGGACATGCTTCCATCAAGGGTTTTTTCTTTAATATCCATGAAATTCCACCAACTAGCAGGTTTATTGGATTTGGTCCACGTCAAGATTCCACAATTACTTGTGGAAATTGACATACGTCCATACTAAAGTTATGTAGGGTTGAGTAATTGAAGAATAAATGGTGATGAGACCATGAAAAAACCAAAATTCGTTTTAAGGAAAAAAATCAAGGATATAAACAAAATCAAGGACTAATCAATCAATAACACAGCTCCATGCCGGGAACGAGACAATACAATAAGCGTCAATATCGAAGCAGCTATCTGGCTTTTCACGGTTAGGAAAAGCTGAAAGAGATTGAAATAAAATAAAAACGGCAAAACCGCCAAACTTAAGTCCCGTCAACTTAATTAACAATCGGTCAAATAGAAACAATTAAAAGTTAAAACCGTACAATGAATCTGCAACTGCTGGGAGAGGGGGAAAAAAAGGAAAAAGACGCCATGAACACGGGGAGAAGACTGTGCAGCCATGAAACGCGTATAGAATCAGTTGTCAAACAATGGAGGAAACGAAATCAATACATTTTCCATAGCAACAATATACCAGCGGGAACCAAACCGAACCTATCAAGAAACGAAGAATAACGCACCTAAAACGAGAGGCGAGAATTTAGATCCCGCCGGCGACAGGAAGACGGCAGCCGGAATGCAGGTATACCTTCAATAACAAAGAAACGGCAGAAATCAATAAAATCACTCGAGCCGAGAAAGTCAAAGAGCGGCGGTGCTCGGAATCGTTGAAAACGTAACAGAACATAAAATAGACGAGAAAAATCGAACTCGGCGAGCTCCTTAAGGAAACTCCACCTCCGCCGACGAATGCAAGAGAGGAATAGAAACAAGAAACGAAATCGGTGAACGGTACCTAAAGCCGGACGGAAGCGAGTTGGAAGAGGAGGGGGTGTCGGTGGTGGACCGAGCTACGCTCAGCTGGAGGCAGCAGAGAGAGGGAAATGGAAAACCCTAGAATCGGCGGAGAATCAGGCCCGCCGAGAGAAAAAGTGAGAGAGAAAGGATTCTTCTGTTGCGTATAGTTATAGAGAGAATCGATGTAGGAACCCGAAAAGCGAGAGAGAAAATAAGAAAGCAGAGAGAGAGAGAGAAGGCGAATAAGCTGCAATATATTTATAGAACGCAACGAACGAATGGGGCTGGTTCCGGTTTACAAAAGCCAATTCACGGTTGTTGAAACGGGAAACACTGCGCTTTGATTATTATTATACAATAATAATAACTGATCTCCCCCACCCGCAACCTGCCAGTGCATGAAACGCGCGAATTGGCGACCGCGTATTTCCCACAAAACCAAATATTCGCGTGGGGAGAAGTTTGTTTTTCCCCTCTAGTCTGGTTTGTGGGAAACCGGGAGAAGCTAAAGAAATAGGGGAAAGGTTAAATAGATTCAGTTATTTGTAATTGGTTGGATTAATAATTAGGAAAAGAGTGGGACACGTAGCGGTAATGACTTCCTTATGGTCAAACCAGAGGGGTGACACCTGTGAGCGAGTCAGGTCTGATGCGGCCACGTTGGAGGAGTGGGTCCCAGTGGGGGCGGGCGGGTGAACAAAGTGTCGTCGTTTTCAGGTTAGCAAGGGAAGGGAAAGCGCTTGAGGTGGTGGCGGGGACCCGTCGGTGACGGGTTGATAGGATTGGTGAGGGGGGATGGAAGTAGAGCTCTCAAAATGTAACCCGACCCGAGTAACCCGCCCGATCAACCCGACTCGCAACCCGCCCGTAACTCGAATTGACTAAAAGTCAATGACCCGTAACCCTCCCGACCAGCAACCCGACCAACCCGCAACCCGATCAACCCGCAACCTGATAGACCCGCAACCCGATTAACCTGCAACCCGACTAACCTGAACCCGTAACCCGACCAACCCGCAGCCCGACTATAATAGAAGGAATCCGATGAAGATAAACTATAAGTTGGCATTTGAAATCCTAGTTCACTAAAGTCTGATCATTACATCATCAATTATTAACTCTAGTATAATAAATTAATAATATACATCATCAACCTATTAACACATATAACATAATCAAATATTGATTTAGATACATCATCAACCTAATAGTGCACATAACATTATAAATCCTAGTCCACTACTGACTGACATCGTAATTTTTAACTTGAACTAGAAAATTTATGATTTTTTTTGTGAGATGGTTTAAATGATTTATTAGATGTTTTGGTGATGATATGAATTTGAAATTTTTTATGGTTAATGATAAATTCATCTTAAATTAGTGTAATATACAAGTTTTGTATGTTATATATCATGAACGGTTGTCCAACGGTATTCTAACGATGAACCACTGAACGCTAAACCATTAAATTTTTTCAATTCAAACTCCAGATTAATTATTATAGTAATTTAGATTTTAAAGTTTATCGTGATTAGTTATAGATGGGTGACAATTTGTTATGGTTCATTTTCTCATTAAGTCATTATTCTAGAGAAGGAATTTGGAACTCGAAAAACACACCTCAAAATTGGAACTCAACAAGAATTGGGAGACTTTTTCCATCCGAAAAATTGAGCTCCACTTTAGTTATTGATTTGGTTGGCTGCAATTTTCCCCGCCTCCCAGTTTGGTTGTAGAAAATTTGGCTCCAAAATCCAAAAAATTTGCCCCTTCTGAAAATTTTGACTTCACCATCCTATAATTTTGGCGCTATCAAAAATTTTGACTTCAGGAACCAAAAATTAGGCGCTACTAAAAAATTTTGGCTTCATAAACTTGAAATTTTGGCGCTCTCTCAAGCAATTCCTTTTACAAACCAAATTGAAATGCAACAAAGCTTTACCTTCCCAGCCAAACTTCACTAAAAAGTAACGCGATGTGCTGGTCCGTAAAACCTGCAACCCGAACCGCCCGACCCGCAACCCGATTGACCCGCACCCGATTGACCCGTAACCCGATTGCCCCGTAACCCGATTGGCCCGTAACCCGATTGACTCGCAACCCGAGTGACCCGCAACCCGAATGAACCCAGCCCGAACCCGCCCGAACCCGCCCGATTGACACCTCTAGATGGAAGTGCAATGGGAGAAGGGGTGTCCCACGTGGCAGTAGAAGGGGTAGGGAAAGGGCATTTTGTGGCCGTTGGATAGGATGATGTGGCAGCAGATCGGTGCAGGGAGAGTGGGGGTCCGCGGTATGGAGTGAAGGGATTGATGAATGGTGTCCTTGGCTAGTTCCACGTGGCTGAGGAATGGGGTGGGAGGGTGGTCCGGTCCGGTTTACTACCTTTCTGAGTTCTCTTCTGAACCGTTTATACATTGGGAAATATCGTATTGGAAAGGGACAATGGGAAGAGGAAGAGAAGGTAAAAGGTAGACAGTACAAATATCTAAACTTCAAACAGTAAAAAAGGAAGGGGAAAAGGTGTTGGAAAATGGAAAGCTTGGTTTTTGGAGGGGAAGAAATTAATTGGTGTGAGAAGGAATGAAGATGATCATCTCCCTGATGTAGTAGTTGCCCCCACTGGTGTGAGCTGCAGGACAAACTCTGTTGCAACCGTAGAGTCAAAGAAGCTAGAGGAAGAAGGAAGAGGAAGCAACGTTGCTTTTTAGTATATATATTAGAATTAGTTTTTACTGCATAGATTTACATGTGTACAACCTTTATTAGTTAGTCATTTCTTCTCATGGTGAGAAAGAATCGGGTCCTTGACTTTGACCGTGGCTGGCTGGTTGGTCGGGACCTTTTCCAGCTTCCAACCGTGCGGGGTGGCATATGGGTTAGCTGTTGCTAGTTGGCTCAATTAGGCGCCACCTAACCTAACGCATGTGTTCGTTACTTCGTTTCTCCGTATACCTTCTAAATATTTGATGTAATTTAGAAATAAGATAATTTTAATTTAGTTGTCTTGAAATTATCCATTAATATATAAGACATTGTTTTAATACACTTATCTTTCCTCCTGTTAATTTAAATTAATGTAACATAAAGTATTTCAAATTTGTTTCACATGACCTCCTACAATGTCTCTACTTTAGAACAACTACTAGTGTTTTCAGTATCTAAGTGGGATTGAGGTGCCCTTAGTGTTAATTCTACTACTAACATATAGCAACGAAAAACATTATCTTTTGTCGCCATCTTTTGACGGCAGATCAAGGTTGGGAATACGGGGAACGATAGTATGGGCATGGACATCTATTGCAGAATGGCCATGCCCATACTACCATTCCCAACTTTGATCTCCAGTCAAAAGATTTAAAGTTGTAGAATGGCCCATCCCAATAGATGCTCATGCCTATATTACCATTCCCCCTATTCCCAACCTTGATCTGTTGTCAAAAGATGCCATCTTTAATTTGTATTGTCAAACGAGACAATTTGACCTAATTACTTTATTTTGAGACAAATAACAGCGATTATAAATTATCTCATACAATTTCACTCCACCAAGTAAAATTACGAAGAAATTTAGTACTTTGTGTTTTCGCAAACCAAAATTTGTTTCTCCTTCCTCTGAATCGTACTTGGTGCCAGCCGAGTTAATTTAGTGGACTCATCTCATCTGGCTAAGATATCAATAATTGTCTAATGAATTTATAGGACCCTAACTTAAAAGCGGAACATCTCAATAGTCTGTGAGTAGATGTTTAAGAAAGTGGCATTTGCCTCTTACTGAGAATTGGTTAGCCCTAATTAACATTAAAACTTGATAAAGCCTATGGAGAATTAAGAATTTATATGCGGAAAGAACGCATAGTTAGTAAATGTTCCGTTTAATATACGTATATGTACTCGTACGTATTTTATTCGTTTAAAACTTCCGTATTCTTATAGTTGTCAAGCCATTTTATTTTGTTTCGTTCATTTGAAGGATCCCGTACTAAACACATATAAAACCCGTGTAACACGTATAATATTCATATTTAATGAATTAAATTGTTAACTTTACTATTATTTATATATTTATTTATCTTTAAAATAATTAATTTTATATGTTTATGATTATTAACGTAATATTAACTTAGAGACGAAGTCAAACACTCGTACGTATTTTATATGTAACTTTCTAGTATCGTATTTTACCAATTATGAGAGAAAGTCACCTTTCATACTCTACTCATCCGATCATCACTTACTGTAATTGTTGTAACGAGCACTTCTACTATGCTATATAGCATTGGTGCTTTAATGTACAACTCAAAGTTGTACCATAACATTAAATTTATAAGTTTAGGTTGTACCATAAAGCAATTTGTACCATTATGTTATGGTACAACTTTACAACTTGAAGTTGTACCATCACATAAAGGTACAAGTTCAAGTTGTACCATAAAAGAATTTGTACAAAAAGTATAGGTACAATATGAAGTTGTACCGTAACGTAAATGTACAATTTTAAGTTGTACCACAAAGACAAAAACCTATAGCACCAAAACTATATAGCATTGTAAAATTTCTCTTGTTGTAACTATGCTGCCGAGCATGAGAAACTGGGGAGAAATACAGCCCATACCATTAAACTTTGAGAATTGGGGGAAGGATACCACTAAAATTAATTTAGGGCGTCCGATACCATGTAACTCGATTAAATGTGCATCTTTCTGTTTTTCCATCCATTTTACTAACGGAGGAAAAAGAATAGCCAACTCAACATTGACTTCAAGCCTCATAAGCTGCTGACACACCTTTGAAATGAATTTTACCACGACATAGTTTATTTTCTTGCCTTTCTATTCGTCACTACTGTTTGTCATGGTTGGCCCTACTTTCAATGAAATTGATATCTCATAAAAAAACAAATCAGGTTCACCTAAACATAAAACAACTTTGTCTAATTAACACACACGCTAATTCTGGATAATATATAGATAAAAGCATGGTGAAAGTCTATAATCTGTATAACTACTCTCATATAGTTCCTGTAGTATGTATTATATGAAACATGTTTATAATCTGTTTCAGCAAATATAAATAAAAAGCTTGCTGAAATATGTAGATCAAACTAAATCCCTTGGCTACTAATTCAAACGTCACTCTCATATGAGTGATTAGTAGGGAAAACCCCACTAAGTAACCTACAAAGCAAAAAACTGTATCCAAAAGCCTGCATC